CGAGAGCCTGCGAGCACGAAGCCTCCTGGAGTTGGAGGAAGAACACTTCGTCTGTCAGCTCCTCTTGATCTGGCGGCCTGTAGTAGACACCAGCCACTAGGTTCCCTTTGTTGCCTCTCTCTCTGATTCTTACCCATAAGCTTTCGACCAGCTCTTCACTCTGCAATGTTTTCTTGATTACAAACTTCTTTAGAGGCATATGTTTCTGTATTGCCAAGAGCTGTTGTTCATACCTTTCTGGAGATAGTCAGCTGAAAAATTGCATGATTTAGACGATGTAGAAAATTTCTGATTTTTTCTATGTAGAGAGATTTTCTTTAAATTGAAAATTATTTCCCCATTATTAATTTGCACTCAGGAGTCAGGATTTCTGTTTGAAATACACAGGCCCTTTCCTAAGAAGTCAGGCTTTTAGATCTGGGGCATAGTTTGCTCTTTGTCAAACTTACGATTTTTGTTTAATATAATCTATTTACTTTCCTATTATTTTAAGCCCTTCCATTACTCAGAGAATTCATTGCACACTGTAGGTATGGTTTTAATGTTTGCATTCCCTTCACACAAAATAAACCTTTGAAAATTTTTAATGCCTCACTGAGTGACCTAAGAAAAGGCAGAGCACATCTACCTGCTTGCGAGTGTTTCCCATGTTTTGGCTTCACATGTTTTCCTCCATCTATACCATCCTTTTTCTGAGGACTTCCAAAGTCAAGTGGTTATTTCTGAGCAGGACAGCACGTATCTTTGTTTCACGTATTTTGCTGTAAGGTTACTTCATCCGCAAATCTTGTATACTGATAGCTGCAGTGGTGTGGAGGTAAATCTTCAGCCATGGCTCTGCTCTTCAAAAATCCAGTGCCACGCTGATCTTCACTGCAGTTGGCACTCAACCTGAATACATGATTGCTTTGGGTGTATCTTCATGTACTTCAGTCACAGGAAGATGAAGAGGAGTAATTCAATCTCAATGGATCATGTGGCCTGAGATGTCTAGCACAAGATGTTTCGGAGATGGGAAATTACTGTTAAGCAGGTGATTAAGTTGTTTTTTTTCCCTTTTCTGCTGTGAACTTGTAAGTCTTGCTATGTGTGCACGCAGACAGCGCAAGCAGGAGTACAACAATGAATCCATAAAAATGTTGGTATGCATCTGTTTAAAACAGAAATTAAAAGCATCACTTCAGATCAGTGTTGCTTATTATAATAAGCAAGTGTGCTTACTGTGAGTGACTATAAAGAACAATTGAGCAGTTTTCTGAAGTTTCCCGTGCCCGTCGGTCACTTGCCCAGCTGAGGCGTTTGGCTGGGTGGGCTGGCTGGGGGCAGAGACCACATCAGAAACAAACACGCCAGGACTCCTACTTTTGTCTGAGCTCCCTTTGGTTTGTTTTTTAAAGTTTAGAGGTTGCTGTGGTTCAATCATGTTATAAATGCTTGCTGTAAATTCTCTTGGAAAGGGGTGGATAGGAGCAAATATTAAAATTCCTGCAGTACTTCCTTATGGTTCCCTGCCAGTAGCAACTATAGAAGTGTGTGGGTAACTGCAGATCATGGACTCCCTTTATCACTCATTGGTGAAAAAAGGGCAATGGACAAAAACTACTTTTATTTTATAAATGAATAAATGCTAAGCTAAGGTGGAGTAGACTTTCAATTTCTAGTTCCATTTGGCTATTATTTCCATGCCAATAGCACTGCAGAAGATGCAGGAGATGTGCTTACTAATGAGAGGGCTGATATAGTTCAGTGATGATCTTCAGGGTTAACGTACCACATCAGAAGCAGCTGTCGTCTGTGATTCCTGATTCTCTTTACCCTTAATTTTTCTTTTCTTTAATGAGTCTTTGAACCAGAGGAATTCTGTTTAATTAAGCAAACCTCTTGGCTTCTGATCCTGAAATGAGGTCTGAGGAGACAACCTGTGCATCTATAGTTACTCATGCTCTCTGTGGGTGCCTGGAGATCACTGCTGAGGTCTCAGCAAGCACAGTCCTTCTGAAACGCTGGAGTGACAATGCAGCTGCACTTGGTGCTTTCTGCTTGAGACAGCGCACACAGAGAATGTTTGGAAAGAATCATGTTTTGCAAGTTGATGCTTAGCCAGGGTTTTCGGTCATGCCTGATTCAGGCAAATGCTGAGACAAGCAGCCAAGGGAAGGGATTCCACAACTTCTTGGTACCTGGACCGCTGACTAGATACTATCCAGGCTCACCTGAGCTGTCATCATCATGAGATACCATCTTTGTTGGGGAAAAATACAATTTAAGCAAACAACTTCTCTCTTGGAGATGGTTGTGTCACAACAGAGGCATCTTGTTAGGGTAGAGTGAAAGTTCCAGTGGTGAATTACAGACAACACTCATATTCCAGAACTGCATCTGGTGACTTACTTGAGAACTGAACTGATTCAAAATGCCCCGAGGGAAGAACGTCGGTGCTTCACTTTTATACTTACTGTAATGTAAATGCCCTCCGGTTCAAGTTTGGCCTGTGACAGACAAATACCTCTTCGTTCATCTGATTTTTCTGGAGTAGTGTCCTGGCGGCGTGGTTGTCGGTGGGAGTCCAGCAGTTAATTTCTGTGAGCCAGGCTTGTGATCTGCTCGCTCTGATGAGCATACAAATTCAGAGTGTTTGAACAACCCCAGGAGGGATGAGGGGATTTCAGACCCACTAAAGACTCCTCTATCATATTTGAACAGTTCCGTGGAGCCAGAGGGACAATATTTAATGACAGAGTGATTTAACCCATCTGTTTCTCAGAAGCTCAAGTAGTGTCAACTCCAGTCCACACTGAGTATGGACAGAAAGTTAATAAGCTTACTCAGTGGGTTCATATTTTATGTTACCACTGTCAAATATTTTCTTACCAAAATCACTGGCTGTCTAAACTGCTGAGTTTATACAAGTCCATTGTAATTTGTGCAGCGATTAAATATTAAAAGAGTGTATTTTCAGAGGAAATAAATTTAGAGAAGACCACTTTGTTCTTTAGCAGAGGATCTCTGCTCCTGTCACTTAGGAGATGGAGCAAACAGTATTCCCTCTGATAGCATAATTATTAAAAAATGTTTGCAAGAATCTCTTCGTTGAATTTGTGCTCATGCTTTAGAGTCATCCTTTTATTCCAAAATGAGGATAAAAGATTTAAGATTCAACAGCTGACAAGGTGATGCAGGTTTACAAACAAAATTTGGAGGAGAAAGGGCCCAACTGTATGTGAAAGAGTTATCCATTTATTTAGAAATCTAATACTCAAGATGCTTTGCCATGCCATTTAATTTTAAAGGTTTTTCAGAAGCCTTCTTCTGTCTCTTAAGAAATTTTAATGGTTTGACTTTACAGCCACGTGAGGTACTGCTTTGCAAAGCAAATAACATTAACTTGGACACCATTAGTTTCTTAAGCATGTTTTAACACATGACAGTAATGCTTTCAGTTTAACAGATGGCATTTTTAGCATTAATAACGTCTGCTAAAATCAGTAGGTTTATTTTTCAAATTTGAGAATGTCCATGCTCTTTTAGTATGAGAAGCAAAAAATGCTGCACTCTTGGGTTAGACCAGGTGTAACTACTGATGCCTTGGCATGTGGAGACTTGGTGGGGTGTGTGTGTATGCATGCATATAATGTGTTTTCCATGTGAAACCTAGGAAAAGAGGTACTTAGACTTTCTTTGTCATTTTCATACAGATTTCTGTGTCATTTTTTTCCTCTTTTTTCCCCATCTTATTAGTGCAGATTGGAAATCAGCCTTCTTTAGGGGAGTGCCAGATAATCTTTTGAATACATAATGTTATCTGTAATCTAATGGGATTTTTTCCAGTGTAAGGGTTTCCCAGGTCTGCTTCTCGAGTATACTGAGCACATCATTAATCTAAAGCATGTGCTCACTGAATTTCACCTTGAACATGCAGTAAAAATATCTGTGTCTTTATGCTGAAGAACTTTGATGTACTTTAGTGCCCATAAGCGATGAAGAGGAAGGAGGCATGCTCTTTGATAACATTGCCAAATCTGCCATTGACCCCTTCGACACCTCTTCGGGATCGGTACAGCTGATAGCTATCAAACCCGTGGCACTACCTGCTGTTCATGCTGCATCAGACAGGAGCCAGGAATCTGCCATCATTAATGGAGAGGTAAGGAGTGTCTCGTGATGTCTCCAGCTGTTTTCTTGGCTACATCCACAGGTGGAACAATCTTAAGCCTGGTAGAGTTGATGACTGGTAGGGCTTTTCATATTGATGCTATATAAAGTCTTATTAGCGTTGTGGGCTCGGAGGTCTGAGAATTTAAGATCTGCTCTTTCACAATCACCTGTGAATGCATGCGGCCTTGGAAGAGGCAACTGTCTATATTCCTACCTTCTCAACATCCTTCTCTCCTATCGCATTAGTTTTAACAAGATCAGTAATTAAGGCAGAGAGCAGAATAAGATCTTTGTCTGCATGAATTCTGTGGCTGAATATGTAAATGTATATAGATTATCTGGGTCCCAAGCTGATCTTTCTCTACTGAGTGATGCATCTCATTCAGAGCAAGAAGTGCTGTAACAGGACCATGGCTTTCCTCAGTCTGCACTCCAGCCTGTGCACAGAGCGTGCAGTTGTTCGCTGGGAACAAAGTGGGATGGCACAAACATCTGATCCAGGCGCTGGCCAAAAACCATGCTTTGGCTCCAATGCTTGTATGATTATTCATGTTTTTATGCAGATTTAATTAAGAGTGGTCTATTTACAAAGGACTGAGGCTTTTATATAGTTATTAAACGTGATGGGGACAAGACAGAGAGGTGTCTTGTTTGCAAACTCGCACTGCAACAGTCATTTAAAGATCAGCCAGAATCTCCCTGATGCTGTTTAAAAGCAACAGGGAGGGCAGCTGCCAGAGACACGGTAAAAGACAGTGTCATCAGGCTTTCCATGTGGGCCTGGATTAGAGCAGTCTGTTGTGCTGCATTTCATACTTGCATTTTAAGCCCTGACATGGCACGTATTTTCCAAACTCAGAGAAAGGCTTATTTAGATTTCAGGATCTACTTTCTGTAAGTCAAAAGGATAGCACTCGCAGTGCTGTGTGCTCTCTTGTACATACATTTCCTGAAATTCGTCAGAAGACTGTAGAATATGACTCTGGAAGCACAAAGCCTAAGTAAATGGCTCATTTCCATGTAACTGACAATTTGAAGCAGGAGGGAAATTTTTTCAATACTTAGGAGCAACCATGGGACCTGACCTGTACCAGGTCAGACCAAGCACCATTTGTTTAATGATCCTGTCTCTGACAGGGGCCTATAACAGATTTGTAAGGAAGCATAGAAATAAGAGGAACATACAATGATACTTCACGAGAATTCTTCCCTTGCCACCAATGAAGAGGAGGGCCACGAAGATGATCAGAGGGCTGGAGTACCTCTCCTATGAGGACAGGCTGAAGGAGTTGGGGCTGTTCAGCCTGGAGAAGAGAAGGCTCCCAGGAGACCTTATAGCAGCCTGCCAGTACCTAAAGGGGGTCTACAGGAAGGATGGAGAGGGGCATTTCACAAGGGTGTGTAGTGATAGGACAAGGGGAATGGCTCTAAAAGAGGGCAGATTTAGATTAGACATTAGGAAGAAATTCTTCACCATGAGGGTGGTGAAACACTGGAACAGCTTGCCCAGAGAAGCTGTGGATGCCCCCTCCTTGGAAGTGTTCAAGGCCAGGTTGGATGGAGCTCTGAGCAATCTGGTCTAGTGGAAGATGCCCCTGCTCATGGCAGGGGTGTTGGAACCAGATGATCTTTAAGGTCCCTTCCAACCCTTACCATTCTATGATTCTCTTTAAGGTTTTGTGTAGTGAGAGGTGATGTCTCTGTACTTATGGCATCCTAGAAGAGTTTTTACTGGTGAGTTCACCCCATTGTGCCCAAAAGCAAGCATGGCATTGGGTCATGACAATTGGCTAACATCATCGGTGTTTTTCTTCAGTGGGTGTTATCTGAGTCACTGTTTGATGGTACATAGTTTTTAGGCTAAAATTATTTAACCATCTGCCAAGCCATAAAAATGCAGCGACTCTGTTCACTTGCAGTTCCTCGCTGCTTACAGATGGCATGGTGTGGTACAAAAAGTGCTCTGTAAAATGACACATGCAGCGCATCAAACGCACTCCAACAATACCGTTTGGAAGTAGCCAGCCCAGCACCATCCTTTAAATATCTTTTTGCCTTTTAGGTGAACAAGGCTTTGAAGCAGAAGTCTGATATAGAACATTACCGTAACAAGCTGCGCTTGAAAGCCAAGAGGAAGGGGTACTATGATTTCCCACAGGTTGATAACAACAAGGGGCTGACAGAGAGAAAAAGGATGTATGAAAAAAATCAGAAGGAGCTTGACCACATTTTGGATCCAGATGCAGATGTCTCGTCTCCATTTGCTGAGCCTAAGAACAGGTGAGACTTTTTATATGCAGTTCTTCGTCTGGGAAGCAAGTTGATGTCCAGGGGCTGTAGGGAATCAAAGGGGCCATTCTTAATGAGCCAGCTGTTTGCTGTATGGTCAGCTGGGCCCCCCGACTCTATGGAGAAAATTCATATAACTCGTGATTATTTATGAAAATGTGTAAAACTGCAATGTGGTTAAAAAGAAAGAACTGGAAAGACAAAAGAATAAGGGAAGGGACTGTTGGAAGTTCTTGTGAGTCATTTTCCAAGTAAGGTCAATAGAAAAAGCGGTGGTAGATTTTTTGGTAATACTGAGAGTGGACTTAAGCCAGAAAGTTAGCATCTGAATTGATTCCTTTCCAAAATTTAATGGTGTGATTATTTTGTCGTTATTTTTATCTGAATATAAATATTGCAGTAGGTATAACATAACAGAACCAGTGTGTTGTCCATGTATTTCAGTAAGTCCTGCAGGGCTGGTATCTGTAGGGATGTGTGTGTACCTGTTATTGGTGATCTTCCTGTGCCTTTAACAGAGAAAGTCATAATTTGCTCACCTGTGACGTGAAGCTGACATATTATATAACAGTATTAATGTTTGATTAACACTTCACTGCCTCTTGAAGATGGCACACCAGCAGTATTCATCTCTATGTTTTAGAAATGAGGAGGAAGTGTACATGCTGATGCTGCCCGAGCCTATGGTGGGTGGGTGGACCTACTCCATTGCTTGTGCTCTCCGAAGCACAAGTTGACACATTGAAAAGAGGAGATCACACCAGTCCTACCCCAGGAATGTCACAGTATGCAGATTTCTCTTCCTCAGGGGTGGTGGAGGCGTGAAGGATTATAAGAGTGTGTTTGCCACCTCGCACCTCAAGGGCTCTGGTTCTTACTGTAATCAGGGACCAGCAGCAGTTGATCCATGAGAGAAAAAGGGATACTGAAGTACAGTTCCTCTGGAAATGGTCTCATGACTGGAGGTGCAATCTTGCATCCCATCTCCTGGAAAGCTCAGACCAAAGTTTTCCTATCAGCATAAATCATGACTGCAATGAAAGCATCAGTGGTGACACAGTCTTTGCACACAGTTCAACTTCAGCCGTTACCCTTGGGGCACAGAGATGAAAAAGACTGTAATGGGAATTATAAAAGCAGTGTTGGCTCAGAACCCGGGCAAAAACTGTGACTGGATGAACTTCTTTAGGTTTAGAGTTAAACTACTGAGGGATACTACCCTTGATGGGCCATTTCCCAGAGTTGCACTGGTCAATGAAGAAAAAAGATGCTGACTTAACTGTATGTTATGTCCTTGCTGGAGGGTCTGGGGCATCATTTCTGTGTGCAGTTTTCCAGTGAAGGAGGAATAAATTGCTCCAAGTGCACTGAAAACATAAGATACCGAACCCTCAGTACACAGGAGTCTTGCTCTGCCTGCACAGTCTGTCCAGAAGACAGAAATGAAATAGTAGAAACATTGATATGACTGTGTGCTGTGCATATAGTGAAGGACAGTAGCATTACTTTGGATATTTATTGTGTCGCATGCCATGCAGGAAATGTTTAAAACATTACACATGAAGCTTTAATGCTAACCATCTGCTTTTTGTTAAATATACTGATGTTTGTTTGTTCATGTGCCAATGTGCTGAAAGATCCCGGAATACATTTTTTCTGCATGCTTTCTAATGTGTTGCGTAAACTTGTCATAGTCTATTTGAGATAGTAATCACTGGCATGACATAAACTGCTTAAAGGCAGGTATACTGCTGTAGAGGAATGATTTCGTGTAGCTGAACCATAAAAGGCTGACTGCTGGATTTACTTGTTAAATGTATAGTCTACATCCCTAAATAGGAAGAGAGAAGAACCTTTTCTGATGCACTTTCTGTAAAGACACGAAGCATTTAAAGAACTTCACAGATGTTGCAGATGTTTGCAAACAAACCAATTCCAAAGTCTATGCTACAATTTCCACAGACCTGGAACTGAACTTGATGTGCTGCAACACACGACTGCATTATTGTCTTCATTTTTCTAACTAAAAATAAGATAACTAAAATGGCGTACTACTGGAGGCAAACCTTGAATAATACTGCAAGTGAAAAAGTCTATTCCACTCTTCTCTGTTTTGTGTGTATTGCACTAACTTAAATCACATTATTACAGTATTTCCAAAATATATCAGAAAATAGAGATGCAGTTGATTACGTTATTAAAGATCACCTTTACAGTTTGGATTTGTTTTAAATTGTATTTAAAAGTCATTTACAAAACATTGCCACTAAATAATTTGATCTGCTCAAGAACAAACAGCTTTGTGCTCTTAGTACCCTTGAGTCATCTGTACCATAAAATTCATGTTTTAAAACGTTCCAGTTGTGTTCCCAAAAGGCACTTGCTAACCTATTTGAATGCCAGTTGTTAGCGTTCATACCTCCTTTCTCATTAGTAAAACTTTCTTAAATGAGCTAATTGGCAATCTCAAGACAATTTTTAAGAGCCTACTGATGATATGCACTATTCTGGGTTTTTCTTTAATAGTTTGTAATCAGGTCAAGAATCTGCATGTATTAGAGAGCTGTATATTTGAATCCCTTAGAAAAATATGTGACAACTGCTTCAACTAAGTATTTACGGACCTATTGTAAAACATGTATGAAATTTTAGAGACCTTTAATGTAGGAACATAAAGGTTGTCAGATCTGATTAGCTTTAGCATAACCTAGTTCCCCATGTTTTCTGGTAATACTGGCAGTATAGTCTTGGAAGAAACAAGATAAGGCACTTTAATTTATTCAGTATTACATTTATAGGGGAAATTTATTCTAAAACCTCTGCTTGTCTTCTGCTTTGGCAGTGCATTTGGGACTTTCAAACATGTGCATGGAGATCTATGATTAAAAGACACACAGAATTTTTTGAAAGTTGTGTTAAAATAAAGCACATGCTGGAGTACTTAATTTAATCAGAAGTGTGATATTGATATTTTTTTTTTTTGTCCTACCATATAATCTATCTGATCATGCAAATGTCTGGCTTTCTGGATTTCTCTAAACAGTTTCTGCTGCTCTAATCTGTCAAGGCAAAAAGTTCTGTTAACCAAATCTGTATTATCTGAAAAATTATTTCTTCTTATCAGTGAGTTCATTTCAACTGTGTTGTCTTTTCATTGATGGTTCTTGAGAGGCTAAACCATGAAGTCTGTGTAATTGCTGAGTGGAATGGAGGCTGCTTCACATGGTTTCCTCTTACGTCACTTACAGAAATGATCCTAGGCTTTTCAATATCGCAAATATTGGAGTAGATCTCTTTGTAATCAGTTCAGGCAGTCCCAAACATTAAAAACTCTGGAGACCTTATTTTTATCCCACTTCTTAACTCAAATAGAGCTCTGAGCCACAGGGTCGCTTTAATGGAAGAATTTTTTTCCCTTCAATCAAATCTTAGCACAGGATTGCATTTTCTCTCACGTTACTTGGCAAGCGTAGAATGATGGAAAAGCCACCAAAGCCTTCTCCCTTCAATATTCCCCTTTTAAATTTCTGCTTTCAACTCTTCAGGAAAATTACTGACAGCCAGATACACTATGAGAACAGCATCTCCTAAATTTTTTTGGTTTAGATGTAGCCTTCTTAAAAGATGCAGCTTGCTGAAGCACGAAGTTCTTGTATCACGATTTGGCAATCACTGCTGAAGAGTTTATGTACAGATGTGCTCAGTATCTTACAGAGAAATATGGTATTTGTTTTTGTATAACCAATAACAAGGAAAGAAATGGTTGCATTGGAAAGATTACAGGATATTTTGGGCATTGAGTTATATGCTCTCTTTCTAGTACGTTTGCTTTCCCTTGCTTCTGAGCAGACAGTGGTGAAAGCTCAATGCCCGGGGATGCCTTTGCCCCAGCACTGCTCAGAGCTCTGCTGGAAGCCGTTTAATGTCTGGGACTACAGCTCTGATGAACTTGTGGCCAGTTATCAAACTGGCTATTTAAAAACAGCATCTTGCAAGCAGTTCCCTCCCACTCCTGTCTCTCTTCCCATTCACTTTGCTGGGTGCTAGTATCAGTGGAGTGTTATTCCACTTCTCTCGTGTTGTTCAGGATCAGCAACCAAAATCTCTGCTCCCCATCTGAGTGTGTGGGAGGGCCTATTATTTTTTGATAATAGCCCCCATTTATTTTTTTATGAACTTGAATCATATCAGCTGAGATTAAAAGGGTTCTGATATCTTCTTGGGACATATTTCATCTGATAATCTCTAAGACATGATGTCCATGTCTTTTATGTAGGTTTATTTTCTTTAACAGCAAACAAAATTAATGATCTCTTAATGACGTTACTGATTTCTGTATATACATATATATACATAGAAAGTATATTCTGTAATAAAATGGCATTTTTATGAACCTCATCATTTTAGAATAAAGGCAAGTACTGAAAACTGCTGCCTGTCGGTTTTTCTTCTTTTGTTTTACTCTTTTCTTGTTTCATGTTTTCTAGGCAACCAATGAAGAACTCGGTATACAGAAGCAGGCAGTCTTTGAACAGTCCTAGCCCAGGAGAAACTGAGATGGATCTTCTTGTGACTCGAGAAAGACCTAGGCGTGGAATCCGTAACAGCGGATATGATGTAAGTTTATCAGATATATGCAGTGAAATTTGTTCGGCAAAGTCTTAACTTACTCCTAAAACTGATTAACTATTGATGAACTTCAAGCCAGAGTGCCATTGGGTATTTAATGTTACAGAACATTATGTGTACTCATCATCCTGAAAAAGGCTCAGGATACTCAGAGCACAGACTCTTTCACGTGCTTTATAGTCGCACATCATTTTACAGCCTGAAATGCAAACAAAATATTTGCCCTGAAACTCATTATTTGACAAAGTATTAAATTTTGAATTTAGATTTCTAAGCCACTTAAATGATGCTAAGCTTATTTTCATTGACATTAAAATCCTCTGTTCTGTACCCCTGATGCTGCTGTCTTGATTCAGAAGAATGACAACCAACTTCTGGGAATTTCACTTAAGTCCAGATGTCAGTGTTTTGTGGAAATCCCCTAGGAACAGATATTGTCCTCTTACTATATCAGAACTAGGAGAGTTTTGAACAGGTAAACGTCGTACCCAGCCAGAGGAGATGCTGATTTATGGTCCGAGGAACTCACACTGCCAACACAAGGCTAGATTAGTCGTCTTGTGTAGTCTGGACATAGTCTGGGTGTGAGTTGACACTATGTGCACCCAGAATGAGGATAAAAATAATCCCCACACTGGGGTAACACAGAATTTTTTCAATCCTTCTCCACGTGGACAGAATGCTGTAGCTCAGCCATCCGTGAAGGTCAGTCCCTGGAAAAGGTCTAAACCATTCTGGAAAATAAGGAAGTTTATCTGGTGGTTGTTCATCCTCTAAACTGTAGATGACAAGCATTTTGTGTAGGGCTGAATTGTTAACTATCTCAGCTGCCAGGGATGTGTTTTTAGGAAGGTGAAGGTCAGGAGATGTGTTCAGGAAAGTTTAAATCTTTTTCAGAATTCTTCGGGGCATGTTGTAGGTGTCAGATTTGTTAAATGAGTTCCTGCATTTAGACACTTCCCATCAGATTGAATGAGTCATGTTGCGCCATGTGAATGGTATGACTGGTTCACTGCTTTCTGAGGCATTAGAATACATCACTGTAGCCTGGAAAAAGAACAGTATAACCTGTTAAAATAGGTTTTACATTTTGCAAAAAGATTTTTTTTTTTTACCCCACTTACATATTTCCTTTATTATTGGAGCTTTCTTAGATAATAAAAACATTGTCAAGCCAGCCTACCCTCAGTATCCTGAAAAACATGTGTTTCAAGAAAGCAAGAAGAGATGTTTTTTTAATATGGTAATAAAAGGTAGTTTTTCATAGGTGATATATTCCTAAAATGAATGTTCAAAACATTCTGGGAGCGGGCATGGCCTCCTGCTATTAGTTCAAAATTAATATGCTGTAATAGTTAACAAAAGATTTTTAAAATATATTTTAATATATTGTGTATGCTATATATAAAATGAAGAAAATTTGTTTAAACCCTTGAAAGTAGATTAATGAGTTTATGCAGATTCTGAAATGTCCTAAAAGTAATGATAAACTCTGAGATCTGTGCACATCATACACATTTGCTTTTGCCCTTCTTTTAAGGTTGTAGTTGGGCAAGGTGTCCGTGGCACTGTCTTCTTTTACTGATAAGTTACATAAAATTCCTTTTGCCCGATGCGCTGCAGATTCACTGCACACCTCTTCCAACTCTGAATGCCAGGGGAAAATGGGACAGAATATTGAAATTTAGTTCCCAAGCCTCAGCTTGCAGCGTGGGCTGGTTTCCCTCACTCCCATTTGCGGTTCCTCGGAGCTGTGCCAAGCGTCTGACAGGCTTGGTCTCCCAGGATACCCATGGGCAGGCACTTATATCTATATTTATGCATGGAATTTATATGGATCTCACCAAGGGTGCAACTAAACACCTCTGTAAATCTGACCTGAGAAAATGGGTGAAAAAGGGCTCTGAAAAAGGGCTGTTTTATATGCTGAATCTTGTGTCCTTTTTTTCTTATCTAGTAACATCTTGTACCATTTTTTGACATCACCCTTGTCGTTCTAAAAGTTTCAGCTTTCTCGGACTCCTGCTAGCCTCTTCCTCCCAGATTGTTTAGCAGTAAGTCCCACCGATGAATGGTGAAATTAATCTTTCATAAACGGTTTCAAATGATCAAATTAATGAAGCAAATAGCCCATATTGGCTTCAAGTCATGAGATTTTTTTTAAGATTAAGAAGTTGTTTTCTATTATTTTTCGAGCTGTTACCAGTATGTTCAGGTTATTTATTGAGGTTTATCTTCCCAACCATGATAAGTTGTTTATGTTTTGGTTCTTTTGGGGGATGTGTGGTTTGTGGGTTTTGTTGTTGTTGTTGTTTTGTTTCTTAAGAAAAGAGACTAAGACTCCCCAGATTCTTGAAGAAAACTCGTTAAGGACTCCTAGACTGATATGCACAACCAAATCCTGAGAGTTTATGATCTGCTTGATTTTGCCTTGTCCTTTAAATCAGAGAGGGAAGTAACAGCTCAGAAATCTGCCATTCAATACTATTGAATTTTTTTTAATATGGTTCCCCTTTCTAATATTCCAACTACGGTTTTCTAAAAATATTTCCTTCCCTGTAATAATATTTTATGTGATATGTCTCTGAAGCATGGTTCTGTTTCTCAGAGCTAAACACTGGTCAGGATATGAAGTCAATAGTTACATACCTGTCTGTGCAGAATACATAGCTTTTTGTATGATTTTGGAATGTACATTCTACTGTTTGATGTACTGAGTATATTATTTGCCATTATAGCATCTTTTATAAACAGATTATTATTGAACAGTACCTGCCTTTCAATTTTAAATAATCCCAACAAGGTTTAGTATCATCACCTAGCAAGTAGATTAAGGAGACTTTATTAACATGTTTATTACTTCCAACACGTTCACAATGATGAGTGCAGCAAAGGCTATAATGAAAGAGGCTAGAACCTCTAGGCTGCTAATGAGCTTTATAATAGGGCAGAAAATATTTAGGCTGGTTTTGGTTTAAAAGGAAGAAATTTAACTTATTATACATATCTAAGATCAATATAAAGAATAATTTACTGATATAATTTTATTGATACAGTTAAATTAATGCAACTCCTCAAAAAGGGTATGGATTAATGTTCACATGAAGAACTTTACTGATATAGTTGCAGCAGCAGTTATGCCAGAAGAGTACAAAGTCTGTCTCTCAGGACTTTCTTTTTCTTCTTCACATCATTCCAGTGTCTTGTATTATACAGTAATGGTGTATGAACAATATATGGATTTTTATAACAGTAATGTTAACGAATAATGGCATCTATTTATGACACTTACATGTTTCCATCGGTAGGAAAGCAAATGACATACATCAGAAAGTGACAGAATGAATTGAAATAAATTTTTAAACTTGAGGAAAAGTAATGGTCACCACTCTCCTCCAAAATCTTCATGCCAACTTTCGTATTGATGTATCAAAGCTGACTTAATGTTGACTGCTAATATGCATCCTTTATTTATACAATGTATATGAGACATACTATAGAGGTCTAATGGCTTCACCAAGGGGGTTGTAGAAGAGAATCCGATTTATTTCAGCACTAGGTACTAATAGGTCTCTTGTGGGATTCCATTCACTGACATTTTTACAGTCATGAGGAAATAGTAGAGCCATGGTTGTTAATCATCCAGTTGAGACAGTATGATTTCAGAGGCTCTTTGGTTGCACTTATTACACACAAACTACTTTTGCATTTTATAGTCAGGCTTCTAAAATTTACCTGATTTTTATTTACTCTACCCTGTAACAACACAGATAACAATGGAATCAAAGTGCAGGAAGAAAATGAAGTTTCCGTTTAAGGCAACTTTGTGCTGTTACTCCTCCAGTCTGATGTGTGTACCACTTAGGAAGCCTGAAGTTGGGTTTGTGGTTTTGAATCTGGATAATATACCGCATAAATACAAAAGTATAAATCACAGTTAAATTCTAGTATTGAAATGATTAATTATTGTTTTCATTTTCCTTTTTTATTGCTGTATTGTCATTAATACAAAATAAAACTTTATTTATAACAGCTAAGAGAGAAAACAAATTAAGACCTTTTGTTTAAATCTATTGTCAGGTTTTTACGCTAACCATGTAACTCTTCTCTGAATGGCTGATAACAGAAGAAGAAAGTCACTTTGATATTTGACTCTGCAGATAAAGAAATATGTACTATGATTGTCCTATAATATATACGACTATACATACCTTGCAAAAGGTTGGGGGCATAGTTGCTTGTCTAATCAGGTATATAGAACACTATTGCACTATTACATGGAAAAAAAAGTATGCCACAGCAGGAGCTACAGAGCACTCAAGTAAATTATCAGGGCAGTGCTGGAATTTTTAATAAGAACATCCTTTTGCCTTCTTTTATTTGTGGCTAGTTGAAATGCTAACATAATTCTAACCACATGCTATATGTAGAAGGAAGTACATATCCTATTCTTCATTACAGTTATCTTCGCATCTTGAATTTATTTTACTGATATTTAAAGAATTAGAAGGTGGTTGTTTTTTCAGATTTCCTGTTTAACATGTATCTTTTAAAACTATACCTTGTAAAACTTATCTTACAGTAGGTAGATGAAATTAGGTATTTCACTGTCAAGTTCTTGTAACATGATTTTTCTTCTGTTTCGGAGTTACAGGCAAAAAAATCAGGGGGGTGATTTCTGTTTGTGTTTATCTGTACAGAAGGAATTACCCTAGGAGTAACCCTTCAAGTTACGCTCTATGAGTACTATCTGCTCATTAGAGTATGTGCATTGTTCACTGTTCCCACATTAGTTTTGGATAAAATTTGTGTAACTACTGTTCGGTGGCTAGGAAAGATGACCAAGCGGGGTCAGGGTATTTTCCACAAGGGACAGGACCTAATTTGTGGTGTTGTTGTTTGTGGTCCTTGCTGGGCTAGAAAGTTCAGGAAAACTCCTAAACTTTAATTGTTCTGAAATCTGTACATGTGAGAATGGACAAAAGAATTTCAGTCCCTGTAGCTGTAACAAGTTGTCCCTTGTAAGGGGTCCTTCATAGTGATGGTACTACTTAGGGAGCCATACTCCTCCTGGCACAGTCATACTCCCATTCATACTAACAACTAAGAAAAGAATTTAAAAATTAATTCTAATTGTTTTAAAGTGAATCACTGACAATTTAGTCCGCTACAGAGTGTCCCTGCTAGTTTTTGCAGGAAACAATGGAGGATGTAAATGGGTCTTTGAGTCCCTGGCTGTTACACTCGCCTGCATCATATCACTCCTTTCCAATATTTGTCATGCCTCTATATTGTCACAATTCCCGACTTGGTATATGTTACATCTGTGTTTGAGAATGTTTTGTGTGAAGCAGCACAAATACTGTCTCGTAAAGCTTTTTACGTATACATGCTTTTATTCCATCCAACAGACTGAGCCTGAAATTATAGAAGAAACAAATGTTGACCGTGTCAACGAGCCTCGGAGTTACGCCAGGTCCCGTCAGGCCAAAGGCCACTCGGAGACCTCAACTTTAAGTTCTCAGCCCTCCATTGATGAGGTTCGACAGCAGATGCATATGCTCTTGGAAGAGGCTTTCAGCCTGGCCTCTGCGGGCCACGGAGGACAGAGCAGGCAGGAGGCGTACAGCTCAGCACCGCACTTGCCCTACTCGGAGGTTGTGACCAGTGCTCCTGGTACCATGACCCGATCTAGAGGGGGGGTACAGTGGGTACCCACATACAGACCAGAAATGTATCAGTACAGTTTACCAAGACCAGTAAGTGAAACTTCTCTTTAGTAATATCATAAAGATATTTCTACTCTGAGACACATTTTTTAAAATTTGTTTAAGCATTTACATGCTTAACACCAAACGTAAAGCTATGCTTACAGTAAATAAGTATGAGTAGTGGGGTATACATACGTATGCTTATTCATACCCATCTCTTGCATGAGGGCTCGTAGTGTCTATTTTAGCAGCAAGGCTGTCTTGTCTAAATTGTACTTGAAAGAATGGCCTGCACTAAGCTCCAGGCTGTTCAACAAATCAAGAACTTGTTTGCACATCTCCTCCTATTCACTGAACGCACATTAGGAAGCAATCTGGTTTTGTAGAACAGCTGTGTAGGCAGCTGAATATGAAACATTCAACATTTCTGCATGAGGTCCGTCACTGAAGAGCATCATCGCAAGGCGGGGAACCAAGTGTGATAACCAGAGTGACCTAGAATGTGGGCTGTTGTTGACAGTCTTGCAGTTATAGCTGTCGACTTCGGACTCTAGAGATGGTTTAATTCCACAGGTTTCCTGGTTGACCTTATGTTAGTCCATCTTTATCCCGCTTTTTCTCTCCTCAGATTCCAGCTAACATGTCCTTACTTCACAGAAGTAATAAATAAATTAAGAGCTGAAATCCACGGATGCAAATTGTTAATGGAAATTTGTAGGTATCTAGACAGCAGTCACAGTAGCACTGTGCACACCATCGGCATGTTAAACCACCCCTGAATTCCTACACATAGTATTGTGAAACTCAACAAAATATTTTCCTTCTCATATGTTAGGTAAAAATCTAAATAAGGGATGACTGCTTTCAGATGAGAAATAGTCCATCTATCAATATGAGTGTGAAAAGTTGTTAATTTTAAGGCATTTTTGGTCAGTAATGAATATTGTTTTGAAAGAATGCATTTCAAGCGGAGTCCCTTACTCTGATTAGAATAAGAGAATAATGCAGAAAAATGTCCTCAGTTCAAAATAACTATTACTATGAGTTCCTTCTATGACAACAAAAAAAATACATTAAGGGATGCTGCTTCTCAACTATTCTGAATGTATTTGAAAGCCAGTGGCACTGCCTGCAAAGGTTCACGGTGGTGCTATTTAAATCATGCTAAAGGCTATTTCTGGCACTTTGAAATTGGTCTGATGAACTTAATACAGCTTATAATCATATTTTATGGTTAGAATTCGATTACAAGCTTAAGAGACAGCTAATGGGTAGTCAAATTACTTTGACACTTCAGAGAGTCTTTCTAAAACGAAATTGAAAATATTATATGGCGACTGATTTTTAAAAAATTTAATAGCCATACTTTTTTGGTGAATGCTTCACTATTTTTTTTTCTAAGACTCATTACTCTTCTAAATCATCTACATTTTTAGGACTTTTAAGCATTTTTTTATCTTTCTGGCATTTTGAAGATAGTGTTAGAAAGTTCCCTGAAGAAAACAGATCATCACAGATTAGGATAGACACAGGCCGCTGGACTATGGATAAGGGCTGTTAATTCATAGTTTTCTGTGTGTTAGTTTCATGAATACAAGCTGTACTTTAACTAAACCATTTACTGGTTTGTTCTCAAATGGGGACGGGGGATTGGAATTGAAAATATCCAGCTGAGACTTGTGGGAAGTGACCTGTGGGTAGGAAAAACATGGAAGAATTACTGCTCTCAGCACTTTAGCGGCTGTTTGTCTGCCCAAGATACCTCTGTTCAGCAGCGCTGGGGGAGATGCTGCAAAGGGGAGCGCTCAGGAGTGGGCTGGCTGACAGGCAGAGAAGGTGTCTGGGGTGAGTGAGACGAGTGGTGAGTGAGCAGCCCCCAGCAGCTTTGAGGATGAGAGGTACCTGAGCACTGGGATGTTTGTTATATGGAGGAGGATGCAAACCAGCAGTTATTTATTTTTGCCCTTTCTTAAAATTCAGTAGCTTTGAGGATGAGAGGTACCTGAGTACTGGGATGTTTGTTATATGGAGGAGGATGCAAACCAGCAGTTATTTATTTTTGCCCTTTCTTAAAATTCAGTTCTTAGTAGCAATTAAAAGTAAATGTTAACAATGCTATTATAATTCAAAATCTGGTTTCAAAAGCCTTTTGCCTGCTTAGATGGAGCAAATGCAGATACTGCCTTTACCGTTGGATCTTCAGCTCATCACTCTCTTTTGAGATCTGGCTCTTTGCAGTCCAGTTACACTAGACTCAACTTTTTACAAGATCCCACAAACTTTCCAGTAACTTCAGTGCAACTTTAGGTTTTAGTATTGCAAAGGCATTTCAGAGGTGATACAAGTGCTCCGTAAGTTTTCTAGCGCAGACATTCTCACAAATGGTAAAGAGATTGAGGCAAAACAGCAAAAATCTGCATGCAAATCTCCATCTCGGTGTTTCCCTCTGTGCCATATGCTTTCAGGGAACCAGAACCACTCTTCGACTTGTGTTTCTTCAGGTCTCCTCCAAGTTATGGATCCTGGATTTTGCAGTCAAATTCTTGGCTAGTCCAGTTGTGTATCTCTCCATAGTGTGCATGCAACTTTTTTCCTTTTTCTTTTTCCTTTTGAGGCCTTCTGTGGTTTTTTTGTTTTGTTTTGTTTTTGGTTTTGTTTTTGTTTTTTGTTTTTTGTTATATTTGCTAGCATTAATACCTAGATTCTCTGTAGCTCTTGTGAGGGAATGCCTCTCTGTCAAACTGCTCATGGGTCACCTGTGATAACAGGAGTCCTTCATGTGGAGCTTGTGCCTTCTCCTGGCAGAGAAAAGCTTGTAAAATGCAAACTCTTAGTGTTGTTCTGGAGCCTCTAAAAATGGGATGAGCAACAATTGGCTGGGTCCTTGTCATCCGGCTGGTATACTAGAACTGAAGAGTGGAGTTACAGCGTTGAGTGTATTACACGACCCTGATTGCCAGCATTGTACCTTGGCAGATCACGTTACTGCTTTGGAAATTCATGCAGCTGAGTCGAGCACAGAGCTATGGCCAGGGAATAAAAAGCACCTCTTTATTACAAGGCTGGACCAGTTCCTATCTCTCCTCTTTAGTGCTCTGGAAAGAGGAGTGAGAGTAACAGAGCTCTGGGTCCCAAGGTAAGACCTAGCACTGTGCAACAGGCACTGATGGACAGGCTTGCAGGCTGAGTGACTGGTAATGGATCCAAGTCCTCTGAGCTTCTCTTCATTTAACAGAGATAAAGCCAGAATATTTCACCGAAGTTCAGCCACTTTCAATGACAGTTACTAATCTAAGTATGAAACATGACAGCTAGCGAAACAAAACCAAATCCAACTGAAATCAGTAAGTCTGCATTATTCCTAGATTGCAATTTAATAATCAAATTAGCTAAATCATTCAATGAGTAAACAAAGGTACTGCCCTTTTAATTCCTATACTGAGATGTAAGGAGATGGATATTTCTGTAATTAGAAGGCAACATTGAATAATTTTACGTAAGACAAATACATCTGTAAGTTGGAGGTGGTAAAAATATTTTAGTATTGCAACCAGGGAAATGTAGCCTTAAAGCCAACTGCAAAGTGTCTCCTTTAGACTTTAGATATTGTGTGCTGATTTAACTTTTCTTTCCTGCATCTTGACAGGTGGTACCTTAGACTTTTGTGGGTTGTAGAAGACACAAGTGCAGGTGTCTGCTGGTGGCTGGCCTTTATCTTCCAGAGGATTTGTTATATGTCTCTTGGGCCCAAAGGCTGAAGTTTGTCTGCTAAACTGTGCTACTACTTTTTAAAATTCTTCACTGGTTTGCTTTTTAAATTGTCAGTGTTTTAGCCACAACAGATGCTTTCACTGACATTTCTTCCTTAAAGTGTGGCATGGGGTCTGCAGTCTGGTACCTGTGCAGTCTGTCCTGAATCTCAAAGTTGATTACTTCTGCCAGTGATTGTTACAGCCTTTGTATGAGCCTTAAGTCCTCATTTTTCAGCAAAACAGAGTTTGGAATCCATGCAGAATGTTTCTCTTTTTAAGTTGTTTTGTTTTTTGGGTTTTTTTTGATGAACAACAGAAGTGATGCAATTTTTTTTTTTAAAGGATAAACTCATTTTGAAGAATAAAATCAGGCAAATTTTCTGTGAAATCAGGTGGTTTGTTTTCCTGAGCAGATTTACAACAGTGCATGAATTTCAGTGAAGTGACTTTATTTCTACGAAGATGCGAGTTAGCCTAGAACCTAAGGGCTCATCTAAATCTATAACAGATGGGCCTCTTTAGTAAACCTTTGGTTTTGGTTTAATTTAGCCTCTGAATATTTTTTTCCATTTATATGCTGTGTGTAGGAAAACACTAATGCCCCGACGCATTGGAGAAATTCTAGAAATTTTGAGTTCCCTCTCGTAATAGTTTTGGTGTCTGTGGAAGCTCAGCACAAAGAGGACTGACTGCCGTCCCCCAGGATGGACCGTTCCTCAGCATGGTGTAGCAGATCTCGTAAAAGGAGTTTTCACTTTAATAGGATTCTCTCTGGCCAGCCATTAGCAAAATATCACCACTCATTCAAAATTGTTCATCTCCTATGATGCAAAATGAGTCCTTCGATTTTCTGTTTTACTTCTTTGCCCAAAATTTTCCATGCAAGTCATAGCACGTTTGTGAACTGTTATTTGAGATCCCTTAAAATGTCTCCTTTGATGTCCGTGTTCCAAAGCACATTCACTAACACACAAGAGAAACCCCAAACCTACCTCTGTGTCTCTGTCTACCCTGTTACACTCCAACAGTATCTGTAGTCACCGACCACTAGCTCATGTGCTGTTCCTTTAAAGTAGGGGGGAAAAAAATTTCATACTTGGTACAAACATATGCTGAGAGCAAGATGTGGGATGAAAGGCTTGGGGAGCCAGAAGGAAGTGTTCGGTTCAGCCTGTGAGAGCACTGCCAGCTTTTCAGATGCAGAAGAGACATTGCGGACCATTTCAAGTCCAGCGCTATTAGGAGAAATCTAATTGAGGTTTTCTTTGGTGCAAATAGCATTTGTTTTTTCTATACAGTTATTTCATTAAAAATCAGTATTTCCAACCCCTGGCTAGGAAATTTACCACTGCCTTTGTAGATTTTTTTTTCCACCTAAATACAGTAATTCTTTAAATACCATTGTAGCATGGTGAAACTAAATATTAGGAGACTTTGTAGATGGCATGAAAGGAAAAATTATTTTCACAGACATGCCTTTGAGGGACTCTACCCTGCTTTAAAAGGCGTGGCAGCGAGAGGCAAGAGAATGATGCTTGGTCTGGATTGCTTTTCACTTAGAGACACTGACATCAAAAGTCCATATTTGATAAGTTACCTTTCCTCTGTGTTAAGGTATTTGAGAAAAAAGGTATATGAACACTGTCTAAATGCGTAATTTTTAAAGATGATTAGTGAAAGTGAGTGGTTTTTGATATTTTGTGTGGGATTTATATTGCCAAATTCAAACCTAAATGTAGGTGTTCAGTCTGAGCTAATCATGTAAATCCTGTAGGCTCCTTCTACAGGCGAGGGATAGAGAATGACTCATCCCATGGTAACTTGTTTTTAGCTTTCTCTGCTGTTTGTAGAGGGAGCTTGTCTGGCTAAACCAAATACCTCTCGTTTAGAGGCCAAAAGTCTCACCACTGGACTGTGGACTCCAGCTTTTTTCAAAATGCCTATGTCTTGGTACTGGACAGCCTCCACATAACTTGTTATTTGCTATTGCTCTAATCTTGTCTTTAATCCAGTGCATTGCTCTGAAGCATCATCAACAAAAGCATAATTAAGGAAAAAAAACACCAAAAAACACAACGTGTTGAAGAAAAGTGTCAATGAATTGCTAGAGAGATATCATCCTTCTGTCTTTAAGTATATCTAGCAAAATTATGACCTCTAATCTATAGCAGTACAAAGAAATTAGAAGAGAAATTTTGTCCTACATGTCATATCTTGGGTGCCGTGGGTTTCATGCACATGATTATTTGTTCTTCACATGTATTAGTGATGAAATCCAAAATTACTATGGGCAAGATGCTTAATTTTGTGACTTAGTGGGTTGGTCCTGTGTTCCTCTGCTTTTTCAGAACTGTTTGAGATCTTCGTTACTGCTTTAGAAAGTTAAAGATCTTGGGGTTTTTGTGAAGAATTTTCTTTTCATCTCTTCAAGGCTGAAAGATGCATTGCTCACAGGCAGCTTCACTTCACTAGATGCTGCTCTGAGGATGCTTTCTGAATCTTTAAAATACTCTGTTTCTGGAGGAAGTGAAAATACTGAGATCTTTTTCCTGTGGGTCCAAAGCAGCTGTTAAGTCTCACATAATCATAACAGATCTGCTTTGCCAGCAAGGTTACAAATGTCACAGAGACAGTGTTTAATACATTTTATTTTAATTAGACTTCATCTTGGCTCTGAACTCATTTGTTCATGTTTTCTTCCACGTCCTAAAATCATCCAAGCACTGTAAATTCTCACATAAAAGGCAATTACTAATGATACCACAAAAAGTTAACTTTCTGTTGGCTGGCATGCAAAGCAGGTATTTAATTTCTGATTTTCTTCTGTTTTTTAATTTGAGTGAGATCTATTGGTGTTTCAGAAAATATTTATTCTTCTCCTTTACAGGCTTACAGATTTTCTCAGCTTCCTGAGATGGTAATGGGTTCTCCTCCTCCTCCTGTCCCTCCCAGAACAGGTCCCGTGGCTGTTGCCTCTCTCAGGAGGTATTTATCTGTTGTTTTATTTTAGGTATGATCTGTAAAAACCACTGTTGTAATAAGAACTGGGGCAAACCCTGAAGGGGCACTTACAAGCCACTTACAAAGACACATTCATGAAATTAGAAACATGTTGGGTTTATTTCATTTTAACACAGAGGAAAGGAATAACAATGAATTTTCTCTTCTATAAGCTAATCAGTTTCAATAAAATTAGGAAATCCAGGCTCGGATTTCTTTAAAAACATGCTTTGTCTCGACTTGCATAATGGCGTATTGTATTGCAGATGTGTGGTAGATAATTCACCCTGTCATTCTCCCTTCTTTTCTCTATTGTAAGGACTTGCAACAGGATATGGATGAATTGTAATATGTTCCTCAGTACCCCGGGTCCAGGGATTTCTGCCTGGCATTGAGATATCTCATACCTATGTTTCTGAAGCCAAATACGTGCAAAAGTCTGATTGCCTTAGCTCAGTGCATACATTTTGCCTCTTCCTCACGAAAAGGCACTCTATAAAATGTATTTCAAGGAATTTTCACACTTCTGTGGTGGATGAACTCATTTAGCCTTCAGTGCTGTGCTGGTAGGAACTGCCTGATGTCAAGTGCAATTCGAGGCACTGCAGGCCTGCTGAGAGTTGCTGTGGAGCCCGAGGCCAAAGGAAACTTTGTGGCTGCTAATGATATTGTAACTGTGTCCAAATACTCAGTATACGGACACTGACCATGAATTCTTGTTCATCCATTACATTTTAGCTCTAAAGCAACTGGGACACACCATTTCAAAAGATGTTAGCACTTCCCAAGTGCAGTTAACATTACTTACCATAGTAGCCTCCTACTATACCTTGTCATATGAACTGTAGTAATTAGGTGTTGTCTACAATCTTGTTTTGATGAACTATGGGGGGAAGCTTGGGTTTTTGTGTTGCATGTCACAAGCATTTGTTTGAAGCAGCAAGAAAAGGCTCTATGCAATGGTAATAACATGCTGTGGCAAAGTAGCGACCAGGCTAAAGAAGTTGTTCTCAGACTTCTGCAGACTTATTCTCCAGTTGTTCTCCAAAATTCTGTCATGCCAGAGCAAAATCAGATAGCTCGTTCCCAGCTGGCTTGTCATACTATAGGTGGTAGGCATATATAGGCCTATGAATCTGATTTGTGTATCAGAATGACAAAAGTTTCTATTTTTTTCTTTCTTAATACACAGGTCTACATCAGATATTGGCAGCAAAGTGAGAATACCTGAGTCCAGTGGGGTAGATCAGGCCCAGCATCATGATCAGGCATCTTTTGCACCTGGTTCGAGAGCTCCGATGTCTGTTGGTCCACTTGATCAATCGGCTTTTCACTCAGGTGAAAAAATAGTGCAGGCCCAACTTGCAACTTGGAGAGCCTCACAATTTATTTTACATATAAATTAATGTATGGGATATAGCAAATACAGATGATTTTTTGGGAGAAAGACTGCATTAGGTGTTTTTTATCTGGTGCAACCGAAGGAGACCTACAAAGCATTGCTCCTTCGTAAATGCAGCATGAACGGCATTGTAAAATACTACTCATCCTGCAGAAGCATCAGGAAATGGTCATTTCTGAAGGTAAGATCCAGCAGTAATGTACCAGATGGTCTTTGTTGAAGTATGGCATTCTGCTGGCTCACTGATAGGGACTCCGAATTATTAAAGCCCAGTAAAACAGTTCATCTGCACCACAAAATCCAGTGGAATTTTTAAGGCTGGTACAGAGGGTGTTGGCTGGCAAAAACAGAAGTTGCCATTTTGTGACTGCAGTGTGACTCGCATGTTGTGTTGCACCATGTACAGAAACAACCAAAGCAGGAGAGACAGCTTACAGGGTTCTGAGGGGCACGGAGAAATGAGGTGGATCCTTCCATTATTTTATCAGTCAAGAATATCAGGCCAAATGCTTGAAAACAGAGTATGTACAATAGAGCTGTAAGTAGTACTGCAGAAGGAGGCTTGATGGCAGTCAGTTCTGCTTGGTTTGTAAGGAAAGGGAGGAGAAACAAGTGGACATGAAGAACAGCGTGTGCGAGACTGAGGTTTTCCAACTTGACTGTGGCATGAGTTTTATGACTCCCTGTTTCCTCTTGAGAAACTTAACCCCTAGTCCTGTTATATCAGTAGACTGCTGAGTGGGGTAAGTTGAAGATACATGCCCCCTTCCCTTCAAAACACCAGGCAGCAGTGCTTTTGCATAGTCAAAGGTAATCCTTTAGCTGGTCTCCCCTCCTGTTTTGGAGAAAGGAGTTCCTGCTCAAGTGCAGGACTTGTTTTGGGTCTAAATGCCCCAGTTTTAAAGGCCTAGTAAGTTCCTGGTCCTTTTGATACGAATTATGCTTATAAACAAATTGATTTAATCATGAGTTTAAGCTGATACATTGTTTTGATGGTATCTGGATAACATTTAGCTGAGAAAAAAAAAATTTGCTTCTCATTGGCAAAACACATTTTCTTGAAGAGCCATAGAAAAGAGCTTACACAATTAAAAAAATTTCAGGTTGTCAGTTCAAAGTTTTGAAATTAGTAGGTTTATTAGATATTGCTCTGTTGATCTGCCATAAAAATTTCTTTCTTAGCTTCCTCAGAAGTAATACAGAGTTATCTGCATTGTATTCAACACCTTCTACTGAGAATAATAATGTGGCTATGCAAATCTGTTGTCAATTAATTAAACATAATGTTTGAAAGATCCATTCTACTCTCACTTCGTTATACCTTCTGCAACAGTGCATGTGAATCTGAAAGGAGCAGATGCTCACGCTTTCATTTTAAAGCATTTCAAGCTATAAAATACACAAAAGCTCTTTCTTCATGTCTGCATTAATAAGTTCTGTGTGATATATTTATTTATAGTTTCCAGTGATGTGGAGATTTTATTGCTGTATTTCAATAACAGGTATGTTATGTTACCACTGAAGAGTGGCTGCATTTCAGAAGAGACCAAGTGACCTCTGTGTACATTGTGGAGCTTGCCAGAATTATTATGGGGGTAGTTAGAGGAAAATTCCATATATGATAGATGCTACAAATGGCTTTAATACAGGGAAAGACAAGGATAGTTGTGAGAAACCTGCAACTATAATATGAACAAGGATTTCTAAAATTCTGATAGGAAAATAAATTTTCGTTGCCTCAACAGGTGAAGAAACATTGCTGCAGGTGATGATTTGGCATGAAACACCCTAACTTGGCTCATGTAGCTCATCAACATCACCTTTAAGATAACGATGTTGCAGTAAGAATTGGGATAAAGTATTACATCAGCTAATTGTGTGTTCATTTTGAATAGTAGCTCATTTTGCTATGGTTAAATTAAAAGAGCATTTTGGTGTAGAAGCCATGTGTCATCTACAAGAGCACCACCTTCTTCTCTGTACATCTCTGAAGAATACTTATTTCCAGTCTTGCTAACTCATTTAAAATAGTAATCCTTGCACTGTCTGTGACCTGGGAAGAACAAACATCGCCCACACCTCTTAGCCAACCTCCTTGCAAACCAAGGGGCTGGAGGTCCTGTGAGTTACCCTGTGGCTACCTGCCATGCAGACATACATCGTAGATCTCACTGGTCCATAGCAATGCCATAGCAACTGCTTCTCTGAGGGCTGGGTGACTCCAGCATCCTTCCTGACATAGTACCTTTTCACATACAACCCAATGTCAGAATGAAAGCTAGGACTTAGTCCCTAACAGTAGAAAACACTGTATAATTGTAAAGAGGTTTTAGTCCATATTTCAGATAACATAGCCCTCATTTTTCTTCCTTTTTTTTTTTTTTTTTTTTGAGACAGTGTTGAAACAGATGACATATTTCTGCTCTGGAGACAATTGTGCTACAAAACATATTTTTCTCCTCTTTGCACACCCTGATTGCATCCATAGCCCTTCTGGCCTAGGACTGCGTGGGAGGTTGTTGAGAACCTATAAATTGCTGGTTCTGTGGAGACTGCTTTGGGGATTGGTATCACTGTTCGAGTCCTTCTATCCCTATTTATGAGCCTGTGCAGCGTTCCCAGTGTCTATCAGAATAGGCAGCATAAGCCTCTTGCAGAGTGTTCAGAAGCGAGGAAGTGCCAGGGCTGTAAATTACATTTTGGGGGGCAGATATTTGAAGCAGCCAGTAAGTGATGCTAATTTCTATCAATTATTCTCTTTTTGAAGTTCGGGGGAATGCCCATGTCTCGCCATTTTGTCAGCACCTCTTACGCAGTGGTATTGTATCTACAGAGGGCAATTAGTGGTAATATTCAAATGATGTGCAGATGGAGGGGAGAGGAATTGTATTTTCTCTGCATTGAATCTAGTACAGAGCCATTGCCTATCTATGCTTCAGTTCCTCAGTGAAAAGGAGTTGTACTTTATTGTGTTCTTATGGGGTTTACAGGCTCTTCTGCTTTCACATAAATGATGTTATTTTTACTATATTTTGTGAATCGGAAAAGTAAAATACATGGACATGGAGTACTCAAAGCACACTGTCCACTTGCTTTATTTACCACCCGATAAAGATGATACAGAGCTTTTCCACCCAGGATTTTGGAATGAGGATTTTATGACCTTAGTGTAGCAGTGGTACACTGCTAGTCTCTGTCTTTGAATGCAAGTAGACACTAGAGGAAGGAATTCTTACTGGACAAGCAAGTTGTTTGTATTTTATTCTAAACTTGGCAAATACACGGAGTTATGATGGCTTCTCTCAAGGGAAATAGTGGGACCATGCATTAAGACGCTGGTCTTGCAGACAGCCTAGGTATATGAGGTGAGGCCGCACCTCGAATACTATGTTCAGTTTTGAGCCCCTTGGTACAAGCAGGACATTGAGGTGCTGGAGCGCATCCAAAGGAGAGCAGTGAGGCTGGTGAAGGGTCTATGAGGAATGGCTGAGGGAACTGGGATTGTTTATTCTGGGGAAGAGGAGGCTGAGAGGAGACCTTGTTGCTCTCTACAACTACTTGAAAGGAGGCTGTAGTGAGGTGGGTCTCTTCTCGCAAGTAACTAGCGATAGGATGAGAGGAAGTGGCCTCAAGTTGCATCAGAGGAGGTTTAGATTGGATATTAGGAAAAAATTCTTCACTGAAAGAGTGATCAAGCATTGAAACAAGCTGCCCAGGGAAGTGGTGGAGTCATCATCCCTGGAGGTGTTCAAAAAACACATAGATATGGCACTTTGGGACATGGTTTAGCAGGCATGGTGGTGATAGGTTGATGGTTGGACTAGATGATCTTAGAGTTCTTTTCCAACCTTTATGATTCTATGTTGTGGATAATCTGAGTAATTGCAGCAAGAACCACATTGTTCTACGCATCTATGTGAATAAACCCTACCTAGCAGATGTAACCATATCCAGACATTTGGCTGAACCTTGTACTAGGAAGGCTGGTTTCTCCCACCCAACCTGGAGTATGATAGTGGAATTCTGGTAGAAGGCTTCCTGGACATCCGTACGCATACATCTTGATCAAGATGTGATAAAACAGGTTTGGTATTAGCAAGTTTCCTTGGAAATATTTAAGTCATAGCTGCATAATTTATAGCAGTCATAGACTGTTCCTGCAAAAGGAATTGAGCAGGTAGAGCCTTGGTATTTTTTATGGAAGCATTGAAGTTTTATGATGGGGTTGTTGAGATTACAGCCTTTTACATGTATTGCTTATTCATTTTTGTAGGTTTTGTGCCTAGAGATAGCAAGACAGTTTTACTGTGTAAACTGAATGCTCTATAATCTGCTGTTGAAAAGAAACGTGCAGTAGTCTGAAACCCATGGTAACAACAGCTAAAAATTGAATAAGGAAGCAAATGTAAGGGTAAAAAAAGACTTTTTATTCCTGATAGTTTAAAGTTTTGATGAAGATCAGTTGTTACAAGGATCAAGTCCTAAGGACTAAGTCCTTATATCTTTATCTAAAGGCTATGCATGACTCCATAGACAACTGCAAATCTTGCTTTCTTCAGTGTTTCCCAGCATTGTAGATGTTCTAGTCAGATGGTGGGAGCCTTACATCCAACCAATGGTGATCACATTCTCACCAATTAAAAAAAAAAAAAAAAGACTGAGGCCAGTTACTTCATAAATCTTATCTTCTAATTTATAACTGAAAATGTCAGCTATTAATTATATCTACTCTCTTTCTTAATAGGAAATACTGTACCAGCAGTGTTTGCCATACCAGCAGCAAACCGACCTGGCTTCACAGGCTATTTTATCCCAACACCACCAACCGCGTACAGGAACCAAGCCTGGATGCCCTATGCTGGAGAAAATGAATTACCAGGACAGTGGGCAGACTCAGTAAGCATCCTTGCTTTCCTAACTACATATATTTTCTGTGATTTGCAGAGGAGGGTTTTTAAGCAATGCTAAGTGATCAGCAAAGAATCTGAGCAAGATAATTCTTCCTTGAATGGTAATAACTGCTAATAGTGACAAGTTATGAGAGGGGGCATAGATATTATCCATCCCATGAACTGCAAGTAAGGTCTTTTAGAGAGTTAAATCATTCCCTAGGTTAAGGGCTGTCACCCATTCAAAGCTGGTGCGTTAGGTACCATCTTTCTTTCCCAGGACAGAAGTTAACTATTTGGATATACATGTGGCAGGAGTAGGTGGTGCTGCCTCTCAAGGTGATCTTGTGCTGTATGGAAGCCAGGGAGTGTCTTTAACTCCTGGAGGCTTCTCTCAGGACAGCCCGGCTCCCGATGCCTAGCTCCTGGCTCTGCCACAGCCCTGCTGTGCAGTGTTTCCAGTCCTCCTGCAGGCTGCAGTGATAGATCATAAGTTAAATAATTAATTGCACAATCTTAGTCTGGGACCGAAGTAATTTTTAGCCCAAAGTATACCTACATTTCAAAGAAATAATGTTGAGACATCCTAAAATGAATTGCAGTAGTTTATCATCTTTGAAACAACTTCTAAAATTTAGGCCTTTTTTTCCACTAGGAAAAAAAAAAGATCAATTCTGCTGCTTGAGCTCACATCTGGTATTTATGCAGAACCAATTCAGTTAAACAAACTGGGAGATGGATTCTATTTCATTGTGCATATCATCAACAGACTATTTTAGTGAATTGCATTTGGAGTCTAATAGTTGGCTTTAAGCAGCTGAGCAAGTGACAACATGGTCACATAAATGTTCCTGGGGGCGGCTATTTGTTGCCAAATCTTTATTACTGCTCCTGATGGCTGCGAGAAAAAGAATTCTGTTTGACTGTCAGATGCAAGTCTGAATTTGTAGGCTGAACTGTCAAGAAAAAAGAAGTATGTTCATCTGTAAGCTGAGCACATCTGCTGATGTGCCCCTGACACCTGGAGTCTTTTGATGCCGTCGTACAGATTCCCTTCCCAAGAGCTACCCTTTAAAGCATGGAAACCCTTTTTCTTTTAATTGTGGTTTTGGGGTTTTTTTGTTTGTTTGTTTGTTCATTTTTTTTCACTCTACTTTTAAATCCATGAGGCCTGGATTGTTTCTGAGCAAACATTTTTAATTTTTTGTTTAAGAAGAAGAAGAAAAAAAACATGAGAAATATTTTAGTTACCTTTTGTATTCCTACTCCTTGGCTGCAGTCCCATGAAAAGAGTCAGATAGCACTTGTCAGAAGGGGAGACTGAAAACAAACTGGACAAAACTGGAATGCAAGTTCCAGTTACTAGCCCCCAGTTACTTCCTCCAGAAGGAGAAGAGTGTAACGCTGTTGTGGGTTCCTCTGTCTTCTAGGAAGGAGGTAGGAAGAGCAGTTAGGGCCAGTGGACTGTACACAGAGGAATGCAGAGGGATGTGAGAAGCTGTCTGAAAAATAACTGTGGCAATATAGTACTCAAAGGAATCAAATATTCCTTTTAACTTCACTTACCCATTACAGAGCTTTAACAACTTCTTGTTACCCAGACTTTCAGCCCTCCTGTGACCTATGCAGGAGAAGAGGAAAGAATGTAAAACCAAAACACTTCAGGTTTCTACAATGAATTTGCACCTCTCAATGACTGCAAAGCTGTCAAGAAATTGTCTTTATTCGAAAATAATTTCTAGAGTAACTAGTAATAGTGTTACCAACATAATATGGTCATAAAGCTGCAAAAAATAAAGATCTAAAGTAATACTCAGAGTATGAGTTTCTAAAGGCTTTCTGGTTTCTGAGCCTCCAGATCACAGCTTGATCGTGCTTCCAAGGTTTTCTTAACAATTAATAAGAACAGAAACATAATATCTATAAGGTGAAAATTGAAATTCTTTACTTTCCATGCGTTTCCATTAGCTGGACTTTAAACAAGGGGAAATAAGAAACAGGAGATTTGACAACAAAGAATTAGCTTGTAAGACCAACTTACTGTAACATACTATTTTCTCATTTAAAAGGTAAGTATTAAAGCACTGAGTTTTGTGGGAGAAGGTACGTGTGTCTGACAAAGCATTTATTTTCCAAATTGCTAGACACTTCTCAGTGAAAGTAGTAACCTGGTGGCCTCTAGTGGCGTGTTCACGTGTACTACTGAAATGTTTGTCTTTTGAATAATCTATTGTAAACTAAACAGAAGCAACTGCATTTAATGATCACTTTCATATCATGCCTGCTTCCTATGTTTATCTTATCACACCATACTGAATGCATTTGACATTCTTTTCATTGCTTGATGGATATCCAAGATCGTACGGAGCATGTGTAAATCCTAGCAGTCAGGTTTTCATAGGTTCTTAGATGCCTGAAGTAGCAAGATTTTCGAAAGCACTCAAGGGGTTGTTAAACTCTCACAGGACCAGAGCCAAAATGGGTTTTAAGCAAAAGTCCAAAGCTGTCATTCTGAATTCCATGCTGAGGTCCCATGATTCCAAGAAGGTATATAAAATTGGCAGAGGTTTCACATCTTGACATTTCAGTTTGCTTGCAGACACATAAAATTCTGAAATTCTGCTTCTGGCATACCCACCAAAGCCTTAGCCCTGGTGGGTGAAGCACCTTACACCTTAGCCTGTCTGAAATCCAAAAATGAGCTGAGACATCTGCCTGGCCGCCTCTATTATATGCTTATATAAAACCTTAATGTATGTATTTGGAAAGTCAAAACCATGTGTTTTTCCCATTTAAAGCAAAAAGAATACAAAGTTAACTTTTTAGTGATTAAACATTGTTGAAACTTACAGTTATGTTGTAAGTGTAGTAGTCTTGGTACAGTGTAGGTAAGTGTAGTTTTCCGAGTCACTCAGTTAATAAAAAGCCATCACTGAACTTTCCTTACTTGTCATTGGCATGGACTATAATGATCAGCTGGTAAGCTTTTTCTCAGGAAGAAATTCTCTTGTCCTAGTAATAGGTTATAGGTTGCCTTCAGTAACAACAGAAAGCTTATCCCCGTTATCTGGATCTAGTGAGTTTTTGTTAGGAACAGTAAGTCCAGAGACTTGGCTGACTTGGATTAGACAGTGGCTGCAAATCAGCAGACCTTACTCTTCTGTTCTAGGCTTTTCAGTGTCCTGAAATGTAGTGGTGCTGTCTGTTTAAAACTGGAATGTTTAGGAGGAATAGGAAGCTGAGGGCACATTTTCAGAAAAGCCTTCTCCTTTGACTTTTTGTAGCGATGATAAATCAGGACATGCAATGTTTCCCTTGCTACATGTTTTTGCTGCCAGTCTGCGGAGTTGAATACCTGCTACATGGAGATAGGTGCATAAACAGCACATATCAAGATACGTATTTGTAAAGGGAAACTTAGGAGTATGAGGTTTACATTCTCTTCATATGGTCCTATCTGTTACATCTTATTCTGCCCCGGGGAGGTTTGTGTTATCTGGCAGGTGGCACTACGGATCACAGAGTTCTGTATAATTTTATGTAATTACAATGCTCTACAGGTTCCACTACCTGGATACATTGAGGCTTATCCGAGGCCCCGCTACCAACATAATTCTCCTTCACGACTTCCTCGCCAATACAGCCAGCAAGCAAGCATGCATCCCAGCCTGGAACAAGCTCCTTTGCCGTCCACCGCAGCTTCTCAGCAGAGCCTGTCAGAAAATGACCCATCTGATGCTCCTCTCACCAATATTTCTACAGCTGCCCTCGTAAAGGCAATAAGAGAAGAAGTTGCTAAACTGGCCAAGAAGCAAACAGATATGTTTGAGTTCCAGGTCTAGTATCTTTTGTGCACGGTACTTGTCTCATGTAACCTGGGGTAGCCAAGAAAGTGACTCCTTTAATTTTCAGTTACAAACTTGCTATGAATTGTGCCAAAGTGATGGCATTTCTCTCTGTCTGAAAAGTCAACACTATGAAATTACTTAAAGTAGAGCAACAGGACTCTGAAGTATGTAACTCTGTTTGCCAGCTAAGGAAATGCTGCCAGGGAACTGTTTAATATGGATAAGATTGATCATATGCAATTGTTTGTCACTTAGCTCTTGCATCATGACCCATCATCACTAGAGATGCTGCTGAATGTGTCTGTGCCACACGATGTTTCATTTGCAAGCCCAAAGGTAGAGCTGCTGAAAATAACTTCTGCATGTCAAAACTTTGATTAGAGAAGAAAATATAGTAGAAAACGGTTAAATAAAGGACACAATAGGTGTGGTGGTGGCCATGTTGTTCGCTGAAGGATGCTGTAGAAGGGACGCTGATTTCAGCAATGCAGAGTCATTCAGCCTTTTCATTTTACAGACCGTATTCAAACCAAAAGAATTCAAGATGAGTAAGTAATAGAAATAAATGTCCTGTAAATAGTCCCAATTCTCCTCATCCTATTAACAGTACAAAAAAGTGAAAGAGAGAAGACTGTGAAGAAGGTTAATGGTATTTTGATAATCGGTGGCTGCCTTGTCCCTGAATGCCACTGATGAGTTATGGAGGAGATTTTTTTCAGTGTGAGAGAATACAATGCGTGAAGAGCCAACAAAAGATGCTGGTGCTAGAAGCTTCCAGGAGAAATGAAAAAAGGTTATTCACATTTGCTCTACATTCAGGCTTTTCACTCTGAATGCATGTGAAGCTGGTAAACCTGAGACCTTTGAGCAAGTCTTTCCAACCTGGAATAATGAATACACCTGCTTGGACAAGAAAACCTCTGTTTAACACAGCGCTTTCTTCTCTTTCTTAAACAATGATATCTACTAGAGTGATGCCAGAAAGTGCTACCTGAAGCTGCAGTTGATTTTGATTACGCTGGAATAGTGAATGCGCACCTAGGAAGTTCTGAATGTAGAGGACCTGATTATTATATTAACTTGTAAATAAGTAAATGGTTATATGGATTAACGAAAATACTAATGTTCTGTGAAAAAGAGAGCATTTCCAGAAATTATGCTGACTTTATATTGTGCAAGATAAAGGTGACTAATTATTAAACTGCTTGTATGAATCCAATCCCAGAAGAAACTCAAACCAGTTGAATGGGACAATAGTTAATCTTTTGCAGTTGTACAAAATAGTCAGAGATCATGAACAATTGTTTTCAGTTCCTTTGGCAGTTAGCTTTGGGAACTGACGTTGTTGCAAAATACATTGTGTTGGGCATGTTTGATGTCAACTGGAGTTAAAGGTAATGTCCTTCATTTCAGTAAGTTATTTAGTTATCCTCAATTGCTTATGCTATTTTGTCTGATCATTTAATTTCCTTGAGTTTCTTTGGTCTTTACTGAGGTGAGAAAGGGAACTTGGTTTAGCTTTTTGGGCATCAGTAAAATGAAAGGAGAGAAGAGACAAGAATAGAGGATAGAAGAAGAAATTGATGAAGCACAAACTTTTAAAGCAGAGCTATTTTTTCCGCAAGTAATTATATTATAAACCCTGACTGAGATTGTGGTACACAGTTATCCTAGAACATATAGATATCTTCTGCTCTGATACCTTAAATATTGCAAAAGCTTTTGGAATGCTAGCTAATCTTTCAACAAATGTGAAACTTCATTTTTATTATTTAAAAATCAGATATAAATAAAATGTATTTTTGTAATTTCTATGTATATATGTGCTGTATATTTATATGCGACTAGTCTGTTATAGTCAGAAAATTTCCATAAACAAAGTGCAAAAAAAAGAAAAAAAAATCCTAGTAATTTTAATCATCAATATAAACATGTTATGTCTGGAGTACACAAATATACCGTTGGGTGACTTGGATACTAAACAACCAAAGAAACTCAATCTTTCATATAAATATAAGTCTAGCAAAGACAGACTGCTGTCTCAGTTACCTGTCAGCTAACTAATACTGATCTTATCAGTGTAATACAGTACATTTTGTGTTGAATTAATAGCTGCCTAAGAGTATCACACTGTAAAATAACAACTTAAAAAATACTGTGCTAAACTCAGCGTGCCATAAAAAGACTAGTTCTGATTGGCTTCAGTGGGAACTTCGCTCGCTGGGAGCAAGGCTGAGTTTCTCTATTAGTATTCGTTTATATGTGCAAGTTTAACTGGAATCCCTTGAACAATATTGTGCTTATTTTTCAGTCATTTAAATCACTGTAACATAAATGCAGACATAATTGAAGAGCGGCTTACTTTTGTTTGGCCTAAGCGGGTTCATAATGGGCAAAAGCTTACTTGGTAAGTGAAATCTACACTAAATTGTGCCAGCCACATTTTGCATCAGCTTTAGTACCTCAGTTTTTGAATGATTCCTCTATTTAGCCCAGTGACATTTTGCAAGTAGATAGGCCCTTCTATGCAACGGGAGTGAAATGTGCTGTGAAATAAATTTCTGTGTCTTAGACTCCAGTTTTGCAGAGTTATCCTAAAGCTGCAAGTATGGAAGCAGGAGCAATCATGTGGATGGGAGTGCTGAAGCAATATAGCTGGGAAGAGTAATGTTACGACGTATTCCCAGAAGAGTCACACGAGGTAGGACGTACCAGATTTAAACAGCATCTTTGGGACACTTAGTTCTGCTCGTAAACCTGTACCAGTTCTTAAATTTAAGTGATTTAGTAGTTCCATCAAAAAATATGTGAGGATAAAACCAAGCATATAACTAAAAAGTTTGGAAATTTTGTGGATGTACAGGGTTCAAATGCCTACATGCAAAAAAATGAACAAATAGAAAAAAACCAAATAAAATTGTTTAAGTAGCCTTCTAGAAAGACAAACCATTTCAGTAAAGTTAAACAAAGTACTCTCCATACTACTGATGAAGACCTGTTAGACTTTCAAAACTAATTTTGTTTGGTATTGTATTGATGGTGTGCAGTCTATTGAATATTCCCTCAACCATCACTCTAAAACCATTGCGGTGCACTTTCTTCACAAAGATATTTTAGATTCTTCATTCATAATGGCTTTTTGTCTTGTTTGTAATATGTTTCTGTATTTTTTTTTTGTGTACAAAGTAAGACTATACCAAGACAATAAGGACATTCCTGGGAAAAAAAAAAAAAAATCATGCTGTAGTATTTATACTGTCTGAGCACAAATAAATGATAAAGTGAAAATACAGTGTACAAATAATTTGTAATATAATAAACATTTTGTATGGCTACAATTACAATATAGTTTTTCAATATTGATTTCAAAGAAGAAAGTATTCCTGTTTAAAGTTGTAACCTTATCAAAATATATTCATGCCATGTTTACTGATAAAAATTGAGTCATTAAGGTTTTTCTATTAGATGTCCCAGTTTTCTTTAAAATAATGTTAAATGCTTAAGTGAAAATACTGTTTTCTGTGTACAAAAATGTTGATGTTCTGACCACTATTTGTCTTCAGATTTGTAAATCATCAGTAGAAACATCTGCAAATGAAATGCACGTAAAATTACTTCTCAGTATGTATGTAATGACCACTTTCGGTAGACTATGTGTGCCATTTATTAATGTCACTAGAATAGTAACTTTAAGACGATACGAGGGTACTTTTTGACAGTCATTTTTTGAGAAAAACATACTATCTGGATTTGAGAGAAGCTCTAGCACTCAGTGTAGAAATAAGAATAATATTTATATCTAATGATATCATGGATAGAACTTGATAGAAATGCACGTAAATCCTCGATATAGAAATGGGGAGGTTGCCACAAGTAAAGATCATTTCATTTTCACAGAATCACAGAATGTTAGGGGTTGGAAGGGACCTCTGTGGGTCATCTAGTCCACCCCCCCCGCCGAAGCAGGGTCACCTACAGCAGGCTGCAGAGGACCTTGTCCAGGCGGGTCTTGAATATCTCCAGAGAAGGAGACTCCACAACCTCCCTGGGCAGCCTGTTCCAGTGCTCCGTCACCCTCAGAGGGAAGAAGTTCTTCCTCATGTTCAGACGGAACTTCCTGTGCTTCAGTTTGTGCCCGTTGCCCCTTGTCCTGTCGCTGGGCACTACTGAAAAGAGTTTGGCCCCATCCTCCTGACACCCACCCTTCAGATATTTGTAAGCATTTATAAGGTCCCCTCTCAGCCTTCTCTTCTTCAGGCTGAACATCTCCTTGTAGGAGAGATGTTCCAGTCCCCTCACAATCCTCGTAGCCCTAAAATTTTCAGACTAACCTTGAAAAGGTGAGGCGTGGAGGAAAGAAAATGTCAGATAAAAATGTGATGCTGTAGAAAAAAGCAGCCTCGGATTGAGTGGCATAACTGAAGTGAGGCCTCTGTTTCATTTAAGGGAACTTAACACATACAAACTAACTACAGTTTTTGTTATATTTCAGGATGTCTGACAGTAAAGAATTAATTAGATATTAATGGACAGTTTTAGTCCTGCATTGCAAATAGAAGCTGGCAGTTGGCTCTTGTAAAAGACTGAGGGAGCTTGAAAGCAGCAAGTTTTCTGAGCTAGCAGGAGAAGTCACTTCATTTTGCTGACCTTGTTCATCCTGTACCCATCTGAGCAGCTCTGAGTACTGTGTCCAAGGATGCTGTATATCAGTTACGGTCCTGACCTTGCCTTTCTTGTACATAAACAAATCTCAGTGGCTTCCCACAGCTCACTGACATGAAACGGGATAGGAAGAGAACAAGTGTGAGACAATATGAAGGATATTAACAGGTCAGGAGTACCTTAATGGCCTGGAAGCCATGGATCTTCTGTTGTATGCTCATACCTACTAGAAAATGTTTGTGTTTGGCAACTGTCCTTGGTAAGGTGCATTCCTTTCATTGTCAATGACTGACATGTATAAATTAAGACTCAGTCCTGTCACAAGAGAATTA